TTTCTTTTCTTTTCTTTTCTTTTCTTTTCTTTTTTCCTTTTCTTGTTCTTTCCTTCCTTCCTTCTCTCCCTTCCTTTTCCTTCCTTCCCTCCCTCCCTCCTTCCTTTCTTTTTCATTCTAACATTTATATCACTTCGTTCTTCAGGTGAGGAGTACCGGCAGAACCTAGGTATCCATCTATGCAGGATACTTTAGTTTAAATTATTGCACCGAGCAGAGGTTAGACTTGATGGCCTCATGGATTCCTTATTGCTTCCTACTTTCTTTCATCATCTCTGTCTCTCCTCCATCTCTCTCTCCCCCTCCCTCCCTCTCTCTTTCATTCTGTTCCATTCCTCTTCTTCTGTTCTCTCTGTGGACTTCAACTCCCAGAATTCCCCAGACAGCATCCTTTAAGATGGGTGGACTTCAGCTTCCAGAGTATGCTGGCTGGGAGATTCTGGGAGTTGGAGTCCACCTTTCTTAAAGTTGCCAAGGTTTAGAAACACTCTCATACAATATCTTTCTTTCTTTCTTTCTTTTTCTTTCTTTCTCCCTTTCTTTCTTTTTCTTTCTTTCTTTCTTTCTTTCTGTCTGTCTGTCTGTCTGTCTGTCTGTCTGTCTGTCTCCCTATCTCTCTTTCTCTCTCTCTCTCTCCCTTTCTCTCTTTCTTTCTTTCTTTCTTTCTGTCTCCCTCCCTTTCTTTCTTTCTGTCTGTCTGTCTGTCTCCCTATCTCTCTCTCTCTCCCTTTCTTTCTCCCTTTCTTTCTTTCTGTCTTTCTTTCTGTCTGTCTGTCTGTCTGTCTCCCTATCTCTCTTTCTCTCTCTCCCTTTCTCTTTCTTTCTTTCTTTCTTTCTTTCTTTCTTTCTTTCTTTCTTTCTTTCTTTCTTTCTTTCTGTCTCCTCTTTCTTTCTGTCTGTCTGTCTGCCTGTCTGTCTCCCTATCTCTCTTTTTTTTTCTTTCTTTCTTTCTTTCTTTCTTTCTTTCTTTCTTTCTTTCTTTCTTTCTTCTTTCTTTCTGTCTCCCTCTCTCTCTTTCTTTCTTTCTTTCTCTCTCTCCCTATCTCTCTCTCTCTTTCTCTCTCTCTCCCTTTCTCTCTCTCTCTCTCTTCCTTCCTTCCTTCCTTCCTTTCTTTCTTTCTCTCTTTCTTTCTTTCTTTCTGTCTGTCTGTCTGTCTGTCTGTCTGTCTCCCTATCTCTTTCTCTCTCTCTCCCTTTCTCTCCCTCTTTCTTTCTTTCTTTCTTTCTTTCTTTCTTTCTTTCTTTCTGTCTCCCTCTCTTTCTTTCTGTCTGTCTGTCTGCCTGTCTGTCTCCCTATCTCTCTCTCTCTCCCTCCCTTTCTTTCTTTCTTTCTTTCTTTCTTTCTTTCTTTCTTTCTTTCTTTCTTTCTGTCTGTCTTTCTTTCTGTCTGTCTGTCTGTCTGTCTGTCTATCTCTCTTTCTCTCTCTCCCTTTCTCTCTCTTTCTTTCTTTCTTTCTGTCTCCCTCTCTCTTTCTTTCTCTCTGTCTGTCTGTCTGTCTCCCTATCTCTCTTTCACTCTCTCTCTCTCTCTCTCTCCCTATCTCTCTCTCTCTCTTTCTTTCTGTCTGTCTGTCTGTCTGTCTGTCTGTCTCCCTCCCTATCTCTCTTTCTCTCTCTCTCTCTCTCTTTCTCTCTCTCTCTCTCTCCCTCTCTCTCTTCCTTCCTTCCTTCCTTCCTTTCTTTCTTTTCCAGTGCACCCCAGCCATAATTCCATTCTTCTTCTCTGCCCTGGCAGGAGCCATGGCGTCAGCGCTGCCCCCCAATTTCTCTTGGGTGGTCTCAGGCCTATTGGCTGGCCTGGCCATGCCCCGCCTCCCGGCTCACTACCAATACATGCACGACCACGGGATCCGGCACCTGGTATCGCTAACCGAGCGAAGCCCGCCTTACCACGACAGCTGCCCGGGCATCCAAGTGCACCGTCTGCGCATTGCTGATTTCTGCTCCCCCTCGACCGAACAGATCCAGCGGTTTCTGCAGATTGTGGAAGACGCCAACGCCAAGGGGGAGGTAAGGGGGTTTCCGTTGTCGCGGGGATGCCCACTCATTATGGGCGGGTCACCCCCTCTCTGCGAGGTAGGCCAGTCCAAGAAACGGACAGGGCAAAGATTTCTAAGAATGTTATAGTGTTTCTCAGCTTGTTAATTTTAAGAGGGGTGGACCCCAACTCCCAGAATCCCCCAGCCAGCATGTTTTAAGATGGATGGACTCCAACTCCCAGAATCCCCCAGCCAGCATGCTTTAAAATGGGTGGACTCCAACTCCCAGAATCCCCTAGCCAGCATGTTTTAAGATGGGTAGACTCCAATTCCCAGACTAAGAGCCACACTGACTAGGGAATTCTGGGAATTGAAGTCTACACCTTTAGGGTTAAAAAACATCACAGTACAGGTAGTCCCCGACTTACGACGATTCATTTAGTGACCGGATTTATATTCATTTTTATTTTTTTGCACCGTTTTTGCCTTTCCCTTTGCTTTCTTTTCCTCTTGATATCTGTTTGCCTTCATTTTTATCTTCTTTTTTTTAAAAAAAAAGTTTTTAATGACAATAACCCTGAAAAACCAACCGAAGGAAATAACCCCTGGTGTGTGCTTTTTTTTCCCCTTCCGCCAGGCGGTGGCCGTTCACTGTTTGCTGGGCTTCGGACGGACGGGAACCATGTTGGCGTGTTACCTTGCCAAGACCCACAAAATCACCGGGGTGGACGCCATCCAAAAAATCCGTCAGCTGCGGCCGGGCTCCATCGAGACTTACGACCAGGAGAAAGCCGTTGTCCAGTTCTACCAGCGTACAAAGTAGCCCCAGGAAAGGACGAGACTCGCCCGTGAGAAAAAAAGAACACAACGATTGTGTCTCTTTCGGCTCCTTTCTGGGGAGGAGGGAGGGGGCAAAAAAAATAAACAGGCTGGGTTTAGAGAGTGGATCAGCAGGGATCCAGTCCGACTGGAGTCCCAGACACACCAACATATACAATGCAAAATCCCTTTATCGCAGAAGTCTCCAAACTTGGCCACTTTAAGACTTCCAGAATTCTCCAGCCAGCTATGCAGATATTGTGGACCTGTTTTGAGGGAGAGGACATTAGTTGTTTTAAGGCCCATGTCCTCAAACTAGGCAACTGTGATGACCCAAAGGGGCGTGGCACAAAAACAACAAAGTCACAAAAATAGGAAAAGTCCCTTTAATTCTTCCAACTTGGCCCCCAATGTCCAGTTATCGGCTGGAGAAAAAAAATCTCTCCCAAGAACAGTTTTCAAAGGGAAGAAATTCCTTCCGAACTCAAAGTACATCTAAATTACAAATAAAAACCAACACCAACCACACTGCAGCAATTTACGAGACAGGGCAGGATAAGGGGTTTAAGACGTTCAGAACTCAGATAAGACTTGACAAACCAGAATAATTTCATGCTTTGCTTCCAGCAACTTTGCCGTGCGCAGTTTGTCCTTTTAAACAATCTTCCCAGCTGCAGTCAATGAAGGGGACTGGGGCCCTTTCCTCCCCCGTAAACCATGCAACTCACGTTGCTCCCTTATCCGTTCCTCCCTGCGTGCCCTAGGATGAAGATGGGGTGGGCCTGGGTCTTCCTCTGAATGCCCAGCCAGACTTTGCCCTTCCCCAATTTCCTCCACAGCCACCGGAGCCACACTCCCACTCCCTGTCAGCTGTTCCACGTCTGCCTCGGAATCAGACTCCAACAGGGGCATGGCAGCAACTTTAAGACTCATGGATTTTAACTCCCAGAATGCTGGCTGGAGAATTCTGGGAGTTGAAGTCCACAAGTCTTAAAGTTGCCAAGTTTGGAGACCTCTGCTTTATTCAATCTGTTGGTTCTTTCCGAGTTAGTTGAAGTTAAACTTTTTCAAGAGCGAAGCATTCGGATCTCTGGTGCCGTTTTGCAAAAAAAATTACAAACTCCATCCCACAGTTGAAAAAAAAAAGCCATCTTCTTCGTGAACCAGTTGTGTCTTTGGATGGAGGAAAAAGGCAAATATTAGTGGAGGAATTATTCAAGACCGTTCACACCGAGAAAATCCTGGATTTTAAGGTTTGGAATCTCAAGTTTCAGGGAGGAGGAAGTTTCTGGTTAAGGACAGCCTTGACAATAAAGAAGCCATCCTAATAAAAAAAAATAAAAAAACACCAGATGGTACTTCTGCCTGCCAGCTTATTTTGTTTATTTGCAGGTTGTGATGACCCAGGGTGGGATACAAAACAAATACAGTTACAAAAAACCTGTGAAGCCCCTTTTATTCCTTCACTTTGCTTCCAAGCTCCAAATATCCTTGACGGAAGACAAAAAAACTCCCACACAAACAGTTATAAGAAGAAGGAACACAAACCAGGCAAGATAAGGGCTGGAGGACGTCTACAGATAACAGAACACACACTGGGAAGGATGATGGTCGCAGCATTCCGGGGGTCCTGTGATCCCCCTTTTGTGACCTGACAAGCAATGTGGGAAGCCAGGTTCACTTAACGACCGTGTGGCTAACTTAACACCGGCAGGGATTCACTTCGCAACCGTAGCAAAGAAGGTTGTAAAACGGGGCAGAAAAGAGAGAGAATTGGAAGGGGAAGAAGAAAGGAGGGAAGGAAGGAAGCAGAATTGGATAAGGGGAGGGAGAAAGGGTGGGTGGCTGGGAGATTGGAGGGAGGGAGAGAAAAGGGGAAGGAAGACAAGGAAAAGAAAAAAAGGAAGGAAGGAGAATTGGAGAAGGGGAGAGGGAGAGAAAGAAGGGAGAGAATTGGAAGGAAGGAAGGAAGGAGAATTGGATAAGGGGAGGGAGAGAAGGAAGGAAGAATTGGAAGGGGAACGGAGGGAGGGTGGAGGGATGGGAAATTGGGGAGGGAGAGAGAAAAACAAGGAAGGAAAAGAAAAGGAAGGAAGGAGAATTGGAGAAGGAAGGAAGGAGAATTGGAGATGGGGGAGGGAGAAGGAAGGAAGGAGGAAGAGGGAGGAAAGGAAGGAAGGGAAAATAGAGAAGGGAAGAAGGAAGAGAGAGGGTGGATGGATAGATTGGGGAGGGAGGGAGAGAAGGAAGGAAGGGAAGGGAAGACAAAAGAAGGAAGAAGGGAAGAAAGGAAACAAAAGGGAAAGAAAGAAGGAAAGAAAGACAATTCATTTTTTTTAAAAGTGTGAATCATCTTAGGGAAAAACAAATTAACAAGATTGCTTGAATTCTCCGACTGAAGCAATAGCTGTTGTGGACCAAGAAGGCAGATTTGGCTCAAGGGCTGCCTGCGGCCAACCCTGCATTATAGCCTTTCTTTTTTCCTGCATCCTTCCCCTGTTTGGGCCCAGCGGGGATCAAGTACCAGCAGGTTCCCCCCCAGTGCAGCCTCTCCGGGGAGGGATCCGGGATTATCTTAAAAGCCCCCTTCAAGCCGTATCTTGTTTCCGCCCCTCCAAGGTGGTGATTATAAAAGGAGGGAGGAGGAAGGAGGGATAATTTCCTCTTTTGGGATACGCACAGCCCATGAATGTTGGCTTCCTGCCTCGGGAGGTTGGGGAGCCCCCCCCCCCAAATGCAGGAAACAGGTCTGGGTGGGATTTAGAAAGCAACAGGTGTGGTATTAAATGACTTCATTGTATGGCTCCTGGCATTCGGTCACGGTGCATCGGAGCATTATCGCGGCCTGTCTCTAGGAAGGAAGAGAAAAGAGAGAGGGAGAGAAGGAAGAAAAGGAAAGGGAGACAGACAGACAGACAGAAAGGAAAGAAAGAAAGGAAGAAAGGGAGGGAGGGAGAAAGAAAGAAAGAAAAGAAAAAAAGAAAGAAAGAAAGAAAAAGAGAAAGAAAGAGAAAGAAAGAAAGAAAAAGAAAAGGAAGGAATGATGGAAGGAAGGAGAAGGGAGGGAGGAAAAGAGGAAGGGGAAGGAAGGAAAAGAAGGAAGGAAGGGGAAGGGAGGAAGAGTGGGGGAAAAGGAGGGGTGGAAGGAAGGAAAAAAGGAAGGAAGGAAAGAGAAAAAGAAAAAAAGGAAGGAAGAAGGAAGGAACGATGGAAGAAGTGAGGGAGGAAAAAAGGAGGGGGAGGAAGGAAGGAAAAGAAGGAAGGAAGGAAGGAAGAGGAGAAAAGGGGGAAGGAAAGAACTGCAACATCAAGAAAATTGTGTAGTTTTGCCCCCAAATGAAAGGGTTCAACCCCCAGAATTCCCCAAGCTGCTGATGATAACTTTTTCATTTATGTATTGATTTATTTGTTTCATTTATACTTTGTGCATTTTACAAAACACACCCCACTTCATTTAGCGCAGAGTTTTGCAACCGTAGCCATTTCCAAGTTTGGGGGAATCCTGGGAATTCCTGCCATTAAAGTTGAGAAAAACTCTGATTTAACGGAACCACCCCAGAGTTTCTGCCCCAACCACACCTGTGTGGGGAAGACAAAACTACATATCCCAGACACCTTTGCGACATAAATCCCTTTCCCCCTCCCCCCTTACCAAGTCACGCCCCCTCCCTTTCCATCTCCCCTTTTAAAGCACCCAGGTTCTACCTTTGCCTCCCGGCCATTGGTCCATTTGGAAGGCGCAGGAAGCGCTTTCGGGCAGGCGATTGGCCGTTGCCCCGGGCAACCAAGAGGCGGTGGTGGGTGGGAGGGAGGGAGGGGAGGGGGGGGCAGAGCAAAGCCCCCGCCCCTCCATTGTGTGGGAAGTTTCCTCGGACAGGCGCTCCGGGACGGAGTTTCCACGTAGGGCGCCCACTTGGGTTTCTGGAACCGGAGAAAGCGAAGTCGCTCCGAATCCGGGACTCGCGGATCAGATGCAAAAAAAAAAGTGGGGGAAAGAGGGGTTGGATTTGCGCTTCGGGGCAGCCGCGGAGTAAATTGCCCGGGGCGAAGGGGATAAGAGCTCAGCGGCCGGTCGCCCGCGGGCGCCGCGTTGCAAAGCTCACGGGCGCGCCAAGTTAGCCCACCGGCGCTCCAGAGCTTGTGGATGGCGACGGGAGCTGCGGGCAGGTGGCTGGCCGGACCGGACCGAGAGCCCTGGCCGGGAGTGGGCATCTCCCGGCGAAGGCAAACAGGTAAGAATCCCGGACGGTCCGGTTCTTACCCACCCACCAGCAGCCTTACGATCCTGATCCCGGGCGCGTCGTGGGAACCAGACCCGTGCAAAAACCGTGCGCTTTCTTTGCAGCGGGTGGACGGGAGCTTCGTGGGAAGCAGACCCGTGCAAAACCCGGTTATGCAAGGAAACTCGCGGGTTAGCGTGACCTTCGTGCGTGTGTGTGTGGCATAACGTGGGTTTTGAACCCGTGCGGGGTTAAACCCGGATTTAAGCGGTGCGCCCCACCGAGGATTAGTGGGGGAGGGAGGGAGAGAGACGGAAAGAAAGCAGCTCCGAGGTTTTTCCGGCGGCTTGAAGAAGAATCCGCCTCACTGAGGACCAGTCTCTTGAAATGCATCCCTGGGTCCAGGAAGCGCTCTGGCCGCTTAAGCTTTCCCACTGAGCGCTATCGAGAAGAGAGGCGGGGAGGGTAGCCACGAGAGACTATCGGGAATATCCAATAACTCCGTTCACACAAACACACGGAACCCGGTTTCTCCATTCCCTTACGTTCTGCAGCCTGTTTGTTTGCTTCTTGTTAACTTTTATGTTTGTTACTAAACGTATCCGCCGCCCGTCTCGCTAGACAGAGAGACTTTGAACTGCTGACTGGGCTGTAAAATCATCATAAATAGAAAAGCATTTAGCCTCCGAGGGGCTGCCTTTACAGAAGCCCTGCAAACAGATCCGATTTGTTATTACGTGATGCCCAATTTGGCACATCTTGTGCCAATGCAACCCCCTTGGGCCTTTTGCTTCTCTTAAACAGGTCGTGTGAATTGGCCCCTCCAGAATCCTCCTATTTTCCTCCTCCTGAGGTCTCCCAGAAACCCTAAACTACCATTCCCGTTCTTCCTTCCAGCTCCAGCCAGTCTGACTTGCTAGGTTTAAAAACTCCCAGAAAAGGGACTTAAGAGAGGAATGGAGAGGGGGGAAAAAATCCTGATTTTGGGGGGCTATTGTTTTGCAAAACAAAACTTAATACTCCCTCCCCCCCCCCATTTGGAAATTGACCCAAGGAAGCTGAAGTTGGCACACCTTTTGTTCTTTTAATTTGAAAAGAAAAAGTGAAATTATACCCTCCCGAAAGGATGGCTTGGCAAGGGGCCAAGGAGGAACAGAATTATATTGTATTTTGTGGGCAAGGGGGTGAGATCTTCCCTTGTCAGGGCCTGTTGGAGAGCCCCTTTAAAAGTGGGGTGAATTTTGTAGAGAATAAAATCACTTCATTGAATCACTTTGTTGAGTTTGGGCAGCTGTAGAAATTGGATAAACAAAACAAGTGTTTTCAAAAAGACCCCTCTTCTTTGCACCTAAGTCTTATTTTCCCTTTTTGTCCTTTTAACCAAGTTAACTGGTTAAAAAAGATGAAGAGGCAGAGAAGGGGGAAAAAATGACTAAATAAAGTTTTTAGTTGGACGCTGCGTTTTTACTAAATCAAGTTGGATTTAATGGATGTCGGTGGGTTTATTTTACAGCCGCGGGAGTAAATTCTCTTCTGAAAAAGAAGTCCTTTTTTTTTTTTTTCTTTTGAAAAATTGCCCATATCTTTTCCTTGTAAGCCTGCTGTGGAATAACTAAAATATCAGACTCATCTTCCAAAAGGGAATTCGCTTTAATGGCTAGAAAATTGCATGGGAAAATTGACCCATCAGCAGCAGCAAATAATGCAAATTTAATATACAAAATTTGCAAATATTATTAATTTAATATACAAATATTTGCAAATATTATTAATTTAATATACAAAACCCAAAGGCACCTTTTTTTTTAGCAGGTTGTGAAATTAGCACATTAAAAGTTTAAATTCTTGCTCGTTCTAGTTGTAAAGGCTGCTGGGAGGATGGTCCTTGAGAATAAGTTAAAAAAAAAAAGTGCGTGAGAAAACACTGGCAAAATTTGCAAATTTATTTACCTGCTAAGTTTGCACCTGAAGCCTGTCACTCATAGCTCAGCCTATCCTACCTTGCAGGGTTCTTATGAGGATAAAAAGGAGACATCTAGGACCGTTTCCCAGGTTAAGCTGCTTACAGAGAGGCCTGTCCAGTTTTACAGAAGGATTTATTTACGCTAATTTTCAAGCTGGGAGCAAGCCTATTATTGGATACTCAGCTCTGCACTTTAATCTGAATGTTCCTGCCTTTTCTCTTAAAGGAATATCTTTTTTTAAAAAAAATGGGAATAAAATCTCTCTTTCCCAGCCGCTGCTGAAGTTTTGCATTTTTCCTACTGGGCAAAATGCAGAGAGGGCCAAATCCTTTGATGTGTGTGTGTGTGTATGCAGAGGTCAAAGAAGTGGAATTATCTCCTGTTTTTAATGGAGCTGAATTGCAGGCAAGAGGAGAGCATTAGGGAGAAAATAGCCCTGTGACTGGCTTGTTTTTCTAAACTTTAATGCAGCCAGTGATGGAGGCTGGACCAGTTTTGCAGAAAGAAGGAAATTCACGGGGTTGACGATGGGTTGTTGTTGTTTTTTTTAAAAAAAAAAACAGAAATGGAGCTGGAAGTAAAATTTAATTCAAACTGCCGTACCCAAAAGCAAAAAAAAAAAAAAGGTTTCTAAGACAGGAAAAAAGGTAGGTAAAAAATCACATGGGAACGAAATAAAATGAAATGGGGGGCATTAAATCTCTGTTTATGCTCAAGCACGCAACGTTGGGTCCTGTTAACCAGGTTAGTTCCAAACTCGTGGCTGCCATTCCACACGGTGCCCAAGTTTTGCTAGATTTGATCTGGGGTTTTGTGTCTGGTGAATTGGCGCGTTGATTGAGATCAATTTGAGTGCATTTAGTTTTCAATCAAATTTGTATGGCTGCCTCTTTTACAAAAAGCAACTCTCTGACTGGCATTTTTAAAAAAACAAAACATCAAAAATCACAACATCGACTACGTTAAAATACAAATATAACTGTCAAATGGAGCCTGTCTTCTATGGTCATAAATTGGGAGAGTTGTAAACCAGCCTGATTTTATGACTTTTTTTCTTTCTTTTTGCAGTGGTTGTTAAATGAAACTATTGATTGCTATGGGATGTTTTTGTCAGAAAACAAAAGTAAATTTTCCGGTCAAAAAGCTGTAAATTGTGGTCACTGTTGTCGTACGTCAAACACCATAAATGTGGTTACAGGATCGCAGGGTAGGCCCAACCTTCAGAACTGAGTTGTAAATGCTTTTTTTTTTTTGGAGAGTGGGGGTCATAAGCTCAAATAGTCATAAGTTAAGGACTAGTAGATTTAACAAGTCTGTAATTCAGTGTACGGTGCAGAAAACAGTTTTGGAATACAGTTAATCCAAGGTTGTCCAACCTTGGCAACTTTTAAGACTTGTGGACATCGATTCCCAGAATTCTCCATGCTGGCTGGGGAATTCTGGGAGTTGAAGTCCCCAGGTCTTAAAAGTTGCCAAGGTTGGGCATCTTTGGGGTTTAAGCCATGGTAGGAATATGGCCCAAGGATAGAAGCCTTTTTGAACAGTGAAAATAGTTTAAATTTTAAAGCGTCTTTCCAAAACAAGGCGAAATAGCTATTTTAGTTTGCATGTACTGGGTTTTCCTTTGGAACTAAAATCAGTGGACGAAAGTTTTAAAAAGGGAGACGCCAACCTCCAGAGAAAGCCCTTTTTTGGAGAAGGCTCTCAATTTATTCCCCTTTTCTTTCCTTTCGCAAACTTTGCTCCACCAGGTCAATGCTGAAGGAGGCATTTCCCACCGAAAATGCTCCAGGATTTCCACGGACAGATTGGCGGGAGATGAAAAACGGGGCTCGGGTGCGAGGAGACGCCCCAGCCCGCATTTTGCAGGCATCTCTGGAAGGCTGCGTTGAAAACCCAGCGGCCTGGCGCACAAGGACGGTGTGATTGTGGGTCACTCCCCAAATACTCAGTGCTGGGTGGGGGAAGTCTTGGTACAGCGGTCGTCCTGCGCAGCGTTTGGCCTGGGTAGCTGTGCTATGAATTGGTGGCTGAGGCTTGCTTGCCTTACCCTGGTCTGCAGCAGCCTTGCTGAAGGTAAGCTGGTTTCCTAGACAGGAGCGGGCTGGGGATTCGCACAGGGACCCCGGCCAAAATGGAGGAACAAAGTTGGGGTCAAACCAGGGGTGGGGTTCAAAAATCCCAGCAACCGGTTGGCTGCCTGGCGGCTGGGTGGGCGTGGCCTACCGGAACTTCCGGGAGGGCCGTTTTTCTCCTTCCCCGGAGTCCGGAGGCTTCCCTCAGGCCTCTGGGAGGATGAAAACGGCCTCCTCCCGAGCTCCGGAAGCCGGAAATGGACCCGTTTCTTGACCTCTGGAAAGTCCGTTTTTCCCCCTCCCAGATCCTCCGCGCAGACCCTGTACTTACCTGCATCTTACCTGCATTGAAAATGGGAGACTCCTGAGAGTTGGTTCAAATACCGGTTCTGCGAACCAGATGCAAATTTAACATCCGGTTCACCCGAAACGGTCCGAAACGGTCGAATCCCACCCCTGGGTCAACCCACAGTCCCCTTGTATCCTCTCAGCTATGTGCTTTGCCAGTAACATGCAGGTAATTCTTAAAAACAGAAGCCTCCTCTTCCCCTTGGAGGAATTTCCAGGCCACTTTGATCTAAAAGGATGGCCTCCAAAAAACGAAGCAGGAAAACGGAAACCTTTTTCTCCCCTTCGAGAGGAATTTTCATACTGCTTTGGTTCAAAAAAGCCAGCTCAGGGAGGCCTCCCAAAACTGAGGTTGGGAAATGGAAGCCTTTTTTTCCCCCCCTTGGAGGAATTTTTGACATCCCCTTAACCCAAGGGACGCTGTGGCTCAGGGGCTAAGACGCTGAGCTTGTCGATCAGAAAGGTCGGCAGTTCGGCGGTTCGAATCCCTAGCGCCGCGTCACGGAGGGAGCTCCCGTTCCTTGTCCCAGCTTCTGCCAACCTAGGAGTTCGAAAGCACGTTCAAAAAATGCAAGTAGAAAAATAGGGACCCCTTTGGTGGGAAGGGAGCAGCGTTCCGTGCGCCTTTGGCGTTTAGTCCTGCCAGCCACATGACCACGGAGACGTCTTCGGACAGCGCTGGCTCTTCGGCTTTGCAACGGAGATGAGCACCGCCCGCTAGAGCCGTAAACGATTAGCGTGGATGCGCAAGGGGAACCTTTACCTTCAACCCAAAGGGTTGGCCCCCACAAAAGAGGGTAGAAAAATGGGAGCCTCTTTCTCCTCTTGGAGGAATTTCCCGATCCCTTTGATCTAAAAGGGAGCCCTCCAAAAATGAGGTAGAAAAACAGTAGCCTCAAAAAGGCTGGGCTTTCAGAGCGGCTGATGATCATCCTTTCCATGTGACTCCCAGCAGGTAACAGCAAAGCAGAAACCCGCACGGTGGTCGGCCGCAAAGGAGAGAGCGCCCTTCTGCGCTGCGACCTGCTGAAGCCGGACGAGGCGAGCCCCCCTCTCTACGTCATTGAGTGGGTGCGATTCGGTTTCTTGCTCCCCATCTTCATCAAATTCGGGCTGTATTCCCCCCGGGTGGATCCAGACTACGTGGGTGAGTGAGTGGTGGCGGAGGTTCCAACGGGGAAAGCTGGCCTGGGATCGGTGGCGCAGCACGGGAGGATGCCCGAGTCCTTTGGCAAAATAATCACGTTTTAATAACCCTGTTTCCCAGAAAATAGGACCTACCCTGAAAGTTAGTCCTAGCTTGATTTTTACACGTGCGCCCAATATAAGCCCTAATTAAAATTCCGCCTACTCCAGAGTATAAAAATTAAGCTAGGGTGGGGATGGAGGGTGGAGCTGCCCTACTACTTACCTTTGGACAGTTGTAGCCAGGCCTCGCACACCCCGACACCTGCCATGCCAGCCCATTTCTTCTGCAGCCAGCAAGGCCGGCAAGGCTTTCCTGAAGGCCTCTATGGCTCTGGATCGATCCTATCGTCTGCAGAGGCCTTCAGGAAAGCCTTGCCAGCTGCAGAAGAAGTTTTGGAAGGCCTCTGACCGCGAAAAGGAGGCCGGGGGCGACGGACGCAAGTGAGATTAGTCAGTGGATGATATCCCCCGAAAATAAGACCTGGTGCCTTTTTGGTGGAAAAAAAAATTATACGACAGGGTCTTATTTTCGGGGAAACATGGTGTTATTTTAATAATATCCGTTTAGATAGGACAGCTACTTGTCTGGAATTTTATAGGGTCTCCTATTTGAGTGGGTGGGTTGGTCTAGAAGGCTTCTGAGATCCCTTCCGAATCCTGTTAAAGGTAGTCCCTCCAACCAAAATTTCTGTTGCTAAGCAAGGCTTAGAGTTAAGTGAGTTTTGCCCCTTTTTTTAAACGACCTTTTTTGCCACCGTTGTTAAGTGAATCACTGCTCTTATTACGTTACACATAGGGTTGTTAAAGCGAATCTGGCTTCCCCATTGACGTAGCTGGTTGCAAAAGGGGAACACGTGACCCCCGGGACACTGCGACCGTCGTAAATATGAGTCAGTGGCCAAGTGTCTGAACTTTGATTACGTGACTACCACAGGGGATGCTGGAACAGTCATTAAGTGTGAAAAACGGTCTTAGGTCACTTTTTTTTCCAGTGCCATTGTAACTTTGAATGGTCACTAAACGAACCATTGTAAGTCGAGGACTACCTGTATCTAAACTTTTGACGCCTTGTGGAAATGAAACCACAAGTTTGGAACTAACCTGGTTAATAGTATTTTGGGACTATAGTTGGCAGGAGGTTTAATTCCCCCCATTTCATTTCATTTTCCAAAATAATTGCTCAATGAACTGTTTGTGTTCTGTTCTATTGGACAGTATTACTTGGTGTGTTGTGTGGATGCTTGTGTGTGCTTTACGGTGGGTGGGGAACATTGGCGGGTGGGGTGTGTTTGGAGATTGTCGTATGTGTGCGTATTGGATCTGCTCTCTGGGTGTTACGTGAATTTCGTTATATGTGTATAATGTGTATATTTGTACAATGATAATAAACTATTATTATTATTATTTGACACAAAAAATGACAGTGTACACAGCAAACAAGCTAACTATGCTGGGTTCGTATCACAAATCACTAGTCAAACCCTTCCCAAGCGTTGAGGACTGTGTGATGTATCAGCGGATTATGCGAGCAGATCCCAGTAAGGTGGCCTTCTGCAGCTGACCAATGGTGATCTTGTCAGCGCCAACTGTTTTTAATTGCTTGCCTAGGTCTTTAGGCACAGCACCCAGTGTGCCCAGTACCACTGGAACCACCTGCACTGGTTTATGCCAGAGTCTCTGCAGTTCGATTTTCAAGTCTTGATATTAAAATCTGGTGATTTTTTTCAAGTTGTTTCTGCTGTCACCAGGTATGACAATGTCGACAATCCACACTTTCTTCTTCTCCACAATCGTGATATTTAGGGTATCGTGTTCCAAAACTTTATCAGTCTGTATTCGGAAGTCCCACATTAGTTTCGCATGCTCATTTTCGACCACTTTTTCAGGCTTATGATCCCACCAGTTCTTTGCTACAGGCAGATGGTAGTTGCGACACAACTTCCAATGGACCACCTGAGCGGCCGTGTTGTGATGTTGTTTGTAGTCAGTCTGAGCGAGTCTTGCAACAGCTTGCAACTGAGTCTTGCAACAAGCTCAGTATGTGATCGATGGTTTCGTCCACTTCTTTGCAGAGGCTGCATTTGGCTTTGATTACAGTCGTTCTGATGGCTTGTTCTTGGGCTGCAAGAATCAGGCCTTTTGTCTCTTCCTTCGGTGTTCCATTGGTTAGCCATAAGCAGGCCTTTTCCTTATCTACTTTTCCTTGGATCTTTTCAAGGAATTGTCCATGCAGTGCTTTCATAATAATAACAATAACAACAACAACAACAACAACAATAATTATTGCATTATTATTATTATTATTATTATTATTATTATTATATGTCTTTTAATTCTAATGAAATGGTTACAGTGATCCTAGCAACAACAACATGTCTTCCCTTTTGATTTTAGAAACGAAAAGAACTTTGCTTCTGGATTTCTTCTGAAGCTCCATTGTTAAACTTATTTAGCCATAAAGCAATTTAGTCCGTTCATTCAGAGGGCAAGAAGCAAAGTTCAGCCAGGCTGGGCGTGTTGTTTCGAATTGCAGAACCCCTAGGATAGTTTCAGAAACAAGATAGCGCCGTTCAAATGGTTCAAATAGAACCTTTAGGGTCTTGCCCAGCCCTATGAATGAATAAAAGTCACACATTTTAATTTCATTGGATTGCAGATTCGATTGATATCTCTCTCTCTTTTTTAAGAGCTGCGGTAACCCAGATATTTGACAATCGTGGCCCTTTTTGCAAAGAGAAACGGCCTTTTAATCTGTAGACATTGGACTGGGCTTGCCCAGGAGGGTGTGTTTGTGTTTGCGTTTGCAGACAGGTGTTGGCAATTTGGCTCTTATTTATCGATAGCGATGGCAAGATTGATTTAGGGGCAATGGAGCCTAAATCACCCAAGCAGAGAAGCATAAAATATTTTTAAAGTCAGGCCTGGGAGACAAGAATCCCAGGGAGAAGGTTCTAAGTGTTCATGTGGCACTACCACAAAATTGTACACACAATGTTCAGTATAATGTTCAGTGTAAAGTTTCTCCACTTCACCATCTTTAAGATGGGTGGACTTCAACTCCCAGGATCCTCCATCGAGCAAGGCTTGCTTTGTAACTTTAAGATAGGTAGACGTCGCTTCCCGGAATTCCCCAGCCAGCATGGATTCTGGGAGTTGAAGTCCACTGAACTTAAAAGTTGCTGAATTGGATTGTGATGGACACTCAGAACAAGTTCTTGCATCCTTCTTTTTTTCACCCTTGGGGGCCAAAAAGAAGCAGGGTGGTAGTGGACTTGTGGGAAATTCCAATCCCAGAACATGTCAGAATGTTCCATCTTTTTTCCCCCCCGGTTATATCGATTTCACCATTGTTGGTTGCTTTCAGAAATAAACCCTTTCCTATTCCGAAATAAACCTTTTGAGAAAGCCTCAAAGTGATTCTCAAATGAGTTGGGGAATTTCATAGGTTCGGCAACGAAAAGGGGGGGGGAAAGGATTTTCCAGCATTCTCCTGAACATTCTGGCATTCTCCAGAATGTTCCGGCATTCTCCGGAAGGTTCTGTTTTCAGGTCCTAGAATTTAGTGCCTTGTCTGACTTGGTGTCATTTCTGGGGAAGCTTCTTGGGCGTCGTTGTGTAGTGATGATGACCAAAAGTGACACAAAATCTGCTTCAGAAAAACACTTTGGGTGGCGATGGTGGCCCCAAATGGCCGCCATTTGGTCTTTTTTTTCTCTCTCCTTCTTTATCCCCTTGTGCTCTTTTCTTTTCTTCGCTTCCTTTTTTCTGGGTCAGGGATTTTTAAGAGGCGTCTCTGCTCCGATTGTCTGGCCAACCTTTTGAACCCTTTTCTTCTCTTTAAACAACCGAGGGTGGGAAATCCTGCTCGGGATTGTGAGCTCCTGCGGACTTGCTCAGGCTGGCTGCCTATGAATATCGGGAAATTGTCCTGCTTTAATTGCTGCCTGCTTTTCCTTTGCATTCTCAAATACCTGCCAATTTGGTTTGGCAAACCTGAAATCTAGGCTGCAAAGAGGGGGTTTGTTAAGCCAGACACTAGGTAGGTCGTGGTTTGCAAGGCAAGGAAGCAGGCGGGGAAATCAGAAAATTCAGATTATAGTTTATAGAGCTGGTTTCTCTTCAGAGAGTTTTGTCAGGAGTCCCTTGAAAATCCTAAACTTAAGTTAGTTGGAGATTCAGTCTTTAGTGAAATCTTCCTTCCTTCCTTCCTTCCTTCCTTCCTTCCTTCCTTCCTTCCTTCCTTCCTTCCTTCCTTCCTTCCTTCCTTCCTTCCTTCCTTCCTTCCTCCTATGCAAACTACCTCCCTCCCTTCCTTCCTTTTCTCATCCATTCCTTCCTTCCTCCTTCTCCATTTTTCTTCCTTCTTCCATTCCTTTCCCTTTCTTTCTCTCTCTCTCTTTCTTCTTCCCCTTTTCTTTCTTTCTCCTGTCTGTTTCTTTCTTTCTGTCTTTCTCCCACTCAGTAAAATTCTTTATTGGCCAAGTGTGATTGGACACAACAAGGAATTTGTCTGGGTGCAAATGCTCTTGGTGTACATAAAAGAAAAGATACATTCGTCAAGAATCATCAGGTACAACACTTAATGATAGTCATAGGGTACAATAAGCAATCAAATCATACTAGGAAATAGTAAATAAAAATTGTTAGGATTCAAGCGACAAAGTTACAGACATACAGTCACAAGTGGGAGGGGATTGGTGATAAGGAGTGATGAGAAGATTAACAGTAATAGTAGTGCAAACTTTGTAGATAGTTGAACAGTGTTGAGGGAATTATTTGTTTAGCAGAGTGATGGCTTTTGGGAAAAATCAAACCATGTGATTATGGATGGTCCAGATGGCATTAAAAAGGGTGGGGGGGGGGAGAAACCCACCATATAACCAGAAACAAATACAGCATAAAAATCAAATTAAAAAAGGAACAAAATTGCTACATAACAAGAAACAAATACAATATAAGAAAAATAAATTTAAAAAGGAACAAACTTGCCACATAACAAGAAACAAATGCAATGTAAGGAAACAAAAAAGCAAAAAAAATCCACTATATAACTAGAAACAAATACAATACATAATTACCCATCAATAACAACATGGAGATAAGTAATATAGACAACTGATCTGCTTTCATGCTGCTAATATTTTCAGGGCTGTAGACCCCTGAATAGCTGGACTGGAAATAAATCAGTCGGCTAACTTTCTTTGTCCAAATTGTTTCCTAGGAATAAGCATGCAAAGATACGATAATATTTAATCTTGGCTTGCAAGTAAGTCAGGCTACTGTATAAACAGAGGTTTTGTGTTTGATAAGCTGGGTGGCAGCAAGCAGATAGAATAAAATTAAAAATGAATTGGCTCCGGTTTGTTTGTTCTTGATTGCCTGTATACACACAAATGTGAATACACCCTCAGAATCAGGCCACAATTAATCAGGATAGCTGAAGCTGAATATTCATACCATATTCATAACATATTCAACTTCATTGCTCCCTCGCCCTGCCTCCAAATTTACTTCTTTAATTTTGAATTCTTTTAAAGCAGCGTTTTTGGAACCTTGGATCGCTTGAAGATGAGTGGACTTCAACTCCCAGAATTCCCCACTCAGTTTGGCATTTAAGAATTCTGGGAGTTGAAGTCCATGCATTTTAAAGCCCACACTGAAAAAAAAACTGCTTTAAAGAAAGAAACATATTCTGTGTATTCTGCCTTGCAATACCACCGTCTCCCTCATGGTTCGGGGCAAGGGGAAATCTGCAGGCTCCGTAGCAGGAAGCTTTCCTGGCAACGGGGACTGAAGATTCGAATCCAGGACCGATTGGCCATAGCTGCATCCGCTAGGCTTTCAAAATTTCCACTAGGGAGACCCAGTCTCCCCCCCAAAAAAAGTGGGGGGTAAGCTTTGCTAGCGGATTGCTTTAGCTGTAGAGGGGGTCTGCATAAATTGTATTCGTTGATTATGCCGCCCATCTCAACGATTCTGGGCGGCCATCTTGTTACCTGCAGGAAGGGTGTAGCCATCATACTTTCAAAACCAGGTTGTTAGTCGCTCTTTGGGGGAGTCCGTTGTCACTGTAAATGGTTGCTGGACGTTTAGTTGTAAGTCAAGGACTAAGTGTAACCTGTAAAGACACTGCTTGGAGGCTGAGAGGCAACGGGAGCTTTGAATTAACGGAATCGTTCTGTTTCCTCGTTTTGTGGTGCGGTGGCCTAGAGGAGGCTGTGAGTTTGATCCTTGGTAGAGGGGCAGATATTTCTCTCTCTGGGCTCGATGAGAAAAATATCTGCCGAACAAAACTCCGTATTGGCCACAGGAAACGCATCCGGCCACTCAGCTCCGTTCAGTTGCCCAGACTCCACCCCGCAGGGGGGTTATGGAGTTGGAAGAAGAAGAGGATGATTCTGTTTCCTCGTTTTACAACAATGCAGGTCGCGTACGAATCCAAGCTGGGGCTTCCCTGCAGATTGACCGTCTGCGTGCCGAAGACCAAGGCTGGTACGAATGCCGGGTGTTGTTCCTCAACCGCCCCAACAACGATGACGAATTCCAGAATGGCACCTGGATTCACCTCATTGTCAATTGTAAGTCTTGAATGTCCCCCCCCCCCTTTTTTCCCACTCCCCTGACTGGGGTCAGACAGTAAGTGGGGGGGGGGAATTCAATAGAACCGTGATCAGGCTTCTCCTTTGGAAGTCCTCAGTTTACAACCGCAATTAGAACCGAAACTTCCATTGTTAAGTGAGTCATTTCTGATTTTGCATCCTTTTTTTTTTTGCTGAGGTCACTAAGCGAATCACATTGTTTTTAAGCAAATCTCTCCCCCCCCCCCCCCCAATTGCCTTTTCTTGTTGGAAGCCAGATGGTAAAGTTGCAAAAGGTGTGATTACAGGACCTCGGAACAGTGCCAGTTGCCAAGCAGCCAAATTTTGATCCTGTGACCACGGGCAACGGTTGTAAGTGCGAGAACCAGTTGTTAAGTCCCTTCTTTGGGGGCCGTTGTAACTTCGAACGGTCACAAGTTGAATCAATCAGTCGATAACTACCTGTATTATTTTTTTTAAAAAAAGAAAAGGACATTGCCCCGTGGAACTCACTGACACAAGATGGAGAGTCCTCTGTGCGTTTCCCTGACGCTTTTTTCCTAAAAGGATGGGATAAATGGGCAGAGATTAATAGATTTTTACATCTCGCCAGATCAGGAGTCAATTCCTTGGGCAATCTGCTTTGTTGGGGGCTGGTTATCAGAATTCCACCCGATCCGATTCAGTTTCTTGGGTTGCAAAATGGTTCGTCCCTTGGAAAGGGAAGTTTATCTTATTTTGAGCGGGTGGGTGGGTGGACTTAGAAAGGTCTTCACATTTTATCTTGATGCTCTTTATGGATGGATGGATGGATGGATGGATGGATGGATAGATAGATAGATAGATAGATAGATAGATAGATAGATAGATAGATAGATAGACAGACAGACAGACAGACAGACAGACAGACAGACAGACAGCAGAGGGGAGCTGGCACATAATACTTCCTTCCATAAGTTTCCTACTTTGGAAAAACTTTACCCATTTTATTTTGTTCTTTCCTTTGCAAAAAATAAAATAAAATAAAAAGCAACTGTTTTCTTCTTTCAAAGCAGACCAGAAAAGGGACTTAGCAAAGACTGTGACCATTTCACACCCACACACAGGCACTCGCATGTTGATCCAAGGATTTCTTGCCCTATAAACGTCGCTCTTGATTATTGACCTCACCTGCCATCTGCCGTCTTGCTTTGAACATAATCCTTTTTGGTGCTGTTTTGCTAAACCTCCCTTGTAATCTCCTCCCTGGTTAATTGTTGCTTTGTGGATGGACAGCCTTGAACAGGGGGAGGCGGGGGGGAGACCCCTCTCAGTGGGTGGGCAGCAGCCTTGGATTTAAAATCTTCCACAAAGCAGAAGAATTTCATCTCGGCGGTTGACGGTGACCAGCAGGAAGTGTACCCAGTCATGCTATAAGGTTCTAATATCCACGACAAAGTCTGTTCCAAAGGGATGTTAAACCCCCCAAATTTGGGATTTTGAACAGCGCAGAGTAGAGACGAGAGAGAGAGAGAGAGAGAGAGAGAGAGAGAGAGAGAGAGAGAGAG